TCCTCATTAGAATATAGCATTGTTATAGTTTCCCTGTTTGTTTCTGTTAATTCTCTCCCCAGGTCTGACTTTATGCCCCAACTCATTAGATTCTTTTTTTTGTGGTACTGGGGATTGAACTCAGGACCTTGCACTTGCCAGGCAAGTGCTTAGTCTACTGAGCTATCTCCCCAGCCCAGATTTCTGGTTTTATGTGTAAACATATATAATTCTTTATTCCTACTTTTAAAATGTATTTTAATTAAAAAAATTTCTTTGTCATATTCTGTAGGGACTTAAAGTTTAACATACCAATACTTGATGAAAAATACTTATTCCATGTTATGCCTAAGATGTTTGATATTCAGACAGATAGGTTAAGCTTAACAGCCTAGGTTCTGTGGTAATAACAATAAGCTTCTCTTCTGGAGGGTTAGCAACCTCAGTTTGCAGCCCAAAAATTAGAGAAAAAGGAGGGCCGCGAGGAGAGCTAACATTTTGGCCCTAGCCTTCTAAGGTCAAATAAGACTCAGGACATACGAGAACCTGAACTGTAACAACATGTAACTCAGTTTTGTCCAAATTTTCTGATCGAGGAAATTATGGGGCCAAAGAGGAAAGTGATCGATGATGTAGAGTGTGCCTAAGGAGAGTCACATAGAGAGAAAACATTCTCTCAGGCTTTCACAGAGAGCATATTGGCCAAGCAATGGCCGTGACTCATCCACATGGCTAACACTGACAAAGGATCTACAATCTGAGGTACAGGATAACAGGATAAATCCTGAGGGTACTTGACTGACCTTATCAGATCCAAAAGCTACAATTCTTGTTACATAGGTCTTGCTTTATCTTGGTCTTAACTATACAGTAGAAAAATATAAAAATGAAGTACAAGAAATAAAGCCATGCTGTTATGTTGAGCTGTAGGGGACTCAGGTCAACAACTTCTGACATTGCCAGTCAAGTGGAAGACGTAATAGTATTATGGACTGCCGGACTATTTTGGAATATTTTGCTGAGTTCACACACCTATAATATTTAAATGATGGAACTAAATTAAAAAAAGGGGATATAGATGAATGTCCATTTTGTATCTGTGTATTCAAAATGGTTAGGATAGATATGTAACTACATTTTCTTAATTCAAGAAATAGAGGGATTTGGTCTAATAGTGTTTGTAAATAGGATATCATGTCTGCATCTTGTACAACACATAACCACTAGGAAGGCAGTATGCAGTGTGTTAATTATTGAAACTGTCCTACCAATTTGATTTGAAACTGTCTCATTGCTATTTATTTCTCAATAAAATTATGGAGAAAAAAAAGAAACTATGTAATATATTAAGTAAAAGATGGGGCCAGGCTTGTAGAATTCTTGAGATAAATCTTAGGAGATGTATCAGAATTGATAGTGATCTTCATATGGCTAACAGGCAAGATAAAAAATTTTAGTACTTGACTACCCTTAGTTTGAAGGTATATGTATCCCTGTTGTAGACATAGAGAATATGAAAAATAAAATTACAGAAGCAGAACAGTGCTTCAAGAATAAATAGCAAGTTTGCTAGTCAAGCAATTTAAAAAAAAATTTTTAGAGACTGGGCATGGTGGTGCACGCCGGTAATCCCGGCAATTGGGAGGCTGAAAATAGGAGAATCACTACAAGTCCAGTCTACGTAGTGAGACCCTGTAGTCCCTGTACCATATACAAATAAATAAATGACTTCTTTTCGTTTTGAAAAGTGTCCTGGTTAGATGAGAAATTATATAGACACCCTAATTATAAGTAGTGTTTTATGCATAACTGACTTTAAGTCTGATCTGTTTTGGGCTGGGGATCTAGCTTATCAACATAGCACATACCTGGAAAGTGCAAGGTCCTGAGTTCGATTCCCAGGACCAAAAAAAAAAAAATTCACCCATTTTTAGGAGCAGAAAGGAATTGGAAATGAGGTAGAGAATTTGAAATTGTAATTTTTACATTGTTTAGCTTTTATTTTTGTGGTTTATTTAATACTTAGGTGATGGATTTCTGTTACTATTGCAGGATTCTTATTAGTACATAGGTAAGATTTGAACTTTGAGATTTTTGTTTAGCTAAGTAGTTCATTAATAAAAGTAACTAGTGTTTGAGATCATTGTTTTCCTATTTCTCTAGCTGATATATTTCTGTATATTCTCATTTTTGGTTTGTCTGGCAACAACATTGCATTAAAATCTGGTTGTTTTGGTGGTTTTATAATTGATCTATATTTGGCTGAACTTACATTGAAAAAACTTCAGTTTTAAATTGTATTCTAGTATATTATTGCTTGTGGCAGTTCAGTAGTGTTAAAGTGAATATGGTTATGTGAATTATTTGAGATTTCTTGGAGAGTATTTGGAACTTTAGCCACCCTTTTTTTCTGTAACCTTGTCAACATTTATCAGTGTACATGAATGATTTTTTTCTTCCCCCGTATTGGGGGTCAAACTTGGGACCGTGCACTTGCCAGGCAGACACTTCTGCTGCTGAGTTATCTACCGAGCCCCATGAAATGATATTAATTCATTTTTTTAGAACCAAAATTTTAGTTTGTGTAAATATTAATTTTTATAGCTGCCTAATCTGATATTGGGAAATATAGCTGCTTATCACTGCAAACTAATGGCTTACTAATTATTTTAATAATTAAGAATGATTAGAATCTTTAAAAATTGCATGTTGAAAGTTTTACTCTGAAAAATTGAATTTGTTTCTGAATAGGGTTGCTTTTTTAAAAAAATTGCTTTGCTGCAGGTATAGAATATAGTTGCTTTGTTCCTTTAAGTGGGTAATATAAGAAGTTATTTGTGTATGGCGTTAGTGACTCAAAAACAAGACCAGTGTAATGCTTCAATATGCCTTGCTTATTCTAACTTTATTCTGAAGAGAATATATGTTATTTGCCACCTCCCAAATTATACATAATTTATGAAAGTTCTTTTCCATACTCCTCATTCTGTTTTGCACTACTTAAAAGCCTGAGAGAATTTTAAACTATATTTTCCTTTTAAAATTTATCCAAATGAAGCCTTTTAACAAATTATATCCTACAGTTTACCCTATGATGTTAATTTCCTCCTAAATTTATTTTGTATCCCAAAAATCATTGTTTCCTTAATATGTAAATGTAATTTTAGAGTAATGTTCATGATGTATTGAAGAAAGAGCAAAAATATTCCCCAGTCTCTGACCAAAATAAGTGCTCGTTAAAGTATCAGTGATGATCTCATCCCCTCCATGATGTCCCACTCAGTGTGGCAGCTTCAGGATTTGCAGTTACCATAGACAGAAGCTGTTCCCAGAAAAACAAAGGTGGTTTTACTATTCATTTTCTAGTTCAGCTCTATTCTTTTCTTCCTCCAGCAGTAATGGTAGCAGTAGCTGGAGCAGTCTTGGTTTAGAAGGAGATTTGTATGAGGACAATTTATCCTTTCCAACATCAGACAGGTTGGTCCAGCCTGGAAAGTTAAAAGCTGATGAGTCTTTCACCACTAATGCATGATGTCATATTCTAAAGAGAATGTGGGTTACAGTGCCAATATATATCAACCTGCTTTTCTCCTGTATTTTGACTTGATTCTGCTTTTTAAATTTACATCTAATGAAAAAATTCAACTATGCTAAGATATAACTGACATCTAATTGCAAAATGTGTGACTGTTATGCATGGGTTGCTCTGCTTGCTATTTTCATTCTTCAAATTATTACTTCATTAAAAAGAGCTTGCTTCCTACAGGATTTCTGTTGTTTTTTTTTAATTTTGTTTTTGTATGCAGTTGTTTTATATACAAGTAGAGAAAAACATTTTTAGCTGTGTTTAAAAAGAAATGGCATCAACAGAAGCATTAATATTTCATTATTCATTATATTCTCTGTTACTCAGATGCTCTATTATCTAAAGTCAAATTACGATAGTTAAGCTTTAAATTTTTTGAAATTGAATTTTATAAAAAATTACTTGGCTCTGAATACAGTAAGGTAGGACTTACTGGTGACTGGTAGCTCACTATCATTTGCAATGCAATTTTTAACATGAAATGATGTGAGAAGCAAAGCTTCCTTCTTATTGTCATTTCTCCCCTTTCTTAATTTCATGTCACATTGTAACATTCATTCCTTAACTACATTTTTAAGAAGTAGTTTTAATACATTATTAATTAAGCTCTTTTGTTTTTTAAAAACTACTGCTGTTTTCTTCAAAAAGTGATGAATCGGATGATGAAGAACATGAGGCTGATGTTAGAGGTTAGTGACAATTTGTTTTTCAAAGTATTTCTTTTTACTAAAACGTTTTCAAAAATAGACTTTATAGTTTGCATTTGTGTATCTTCATCAAATAGTCCCTAGGATTTTTGTGTAAAACATCACAAGTCTGGTATTCTTCTTGTAGTTTGGGCCAGTTTTATGTCCTTTGTTGAACAGTTTGTATTATTTGATTGCCACACTGGTGAGGTACTCAGTGTAAAGGCTAAAACATTTTAAATAAATTATTTAGATATTTGAAAAGTATATAGTTCTTTCATAATCATCTTTTAAAAATACGTAAAATCCTTAATCATGTTATAAGATATAATTTATAATCATGCCATATTGCTCTCATATTTCCCTTCCAATCTGATAACTTCTATATTTCATGTTGTCACACTTAAATCAGTAACTGAAAATGACAAGGTTTTTAAATTTTTAAAGTTTTCCATTTTTTAAATTCATTTTAAAGAGAAAATAACAACGAAACATTTTCAAAACAGGTTAGTAGGATAGTCACAATAATTAGACAAGGTTTTTTAAGATCCTTCCACAATCTTTCATTCAATTCCAACCTGAAGCCATGCATATACTTATTTGAAGAAAAAATTCAAAATCTCCTTTAATAAACGTAGTTCTAAATAGGTCATTACCAGATATCATTGTTCAGTTTTAGACCATGGTTTGTAATCCTTAATTCATATATTAGAATATCTTCTTGAGTCTAGAAACTTTTCACAATGGTAGGAGGATTTTTTTTTTTCTCCAAATGCCTTCAGGGCAGGTTTGGCTGGTTTGAGTTGTGGGAATCGAACCACAGCAACCTGAGCCTGACTGCTTTGTTGAAGCAGCCACCTGAAGAACTGAGCTACGGGGCAGGCCCCCAACTTTTCACAGTGAATTTGAGTTGTACTTAACATTTAGATAATTGTTAGATTTTCCCCATAATTTAAATTTTCCTGAATTATGAAAATACTAGTGACATCTATAGCACAGCACATTATCTGTAAAAAATATATATTTATACTGTTAGAGATACTTTGTTTGGAACCAGTGAAGTTTTCAGTTGGTCTTTAGAAGTTGGCAGATGGAAAAAATGCTGAGAAGAATTTCTTCAGAAGTACATCTGAGTGTCTAGTCCCTTTTTTAACCACTCATACTTCCTTATTTGGGGAAGTCATATATCAATTTTCAAGCTAAAATCTTTAGACTTAATGTATAATCTTCTTATTTCTGTAAGTAAACATTTTTTATATAAATCTGCCAACAGAGAGTCAGGTTAGACCAGTGTTTTTAGTTAGTGGTAAGCTAGGAAATGTTGACTTTCTGGTCTTTTTATTGTTGTTCACTGAGAAACTGTGGATTTTGTCTAAAAATTGTATACTTTTCCCATCTCATATCTGTGAGCAAACCTGTCCCAGATACTACCATGGTACCAGTGCATTTCTCTATTGAAGTAATAATTATTAATTAGGGTACTTTGGTGAGGAATGATTAAAAGAAAAGATACAAGTTAATACAAGTGAGAAATTCATTTAAAATACTTCACTTTTGACATTAGGCAGGATGTCCACAATTTCTTTTCTGAATAGGCAGAAATCAGGAGGTTAATGATAGGCATATATGACATTGCTTTGCTTTTGATTATAGGTTTCTCTCATTATATAGAAAGTAATAGTCAACTTTCATATTTAAATTAGATGGTCTGTATTTATAGAAAGACTAAAGATTATGGAAATCTTCAGGCAATAAATGCTTCCTTTTTACCCTTACTTTTTTATATGTATAATTATGTAGTATCAGTTTCTTCCTTTTTACTTTTGGTCAGTTCTTTCTTGAAAGAGAGCTGTTTGGAAAAAAATAGAGCTGTTTGAACTTTTATCAGGCCATGCAACTAGGAGCCGGCATAGGAAAGCCCAGCAGTACAGAGAAGCATGAGGTGACTTCCGACCACCTGAGCTCTGTAGGATTTACAAAATGCCTCAGAAACCTTGTCTTGTACCAAAGTGCATTTGGCCTACTTTGGATTGAGTTACTGGGGAGAATAGAGGGAAGAGATAATAAATTTATCTCTAGAAAATAATATTGACTAATTTTTTAAAACTACAAATTAAGAGACCAGCACAAAATGATTTATCAGTGATCTAGAATACTCAGCAGAATGTTGCAGAAAACTGGGGATATCTATCAACAGCATTTCTATCACTGGTGAACATTGATCGGCATGATGTCTGCCAGTGCCCCTGATGATCGTTTCTTGTAGGTTAGGGAGTTCTAGTCTCAGAATCATATTGCTCAGTCACCTGTAAGCAGGAGTGTTTCCCACATTATATTGGCCCCCAACTGATTAGTTTTGCAGTCGTCAGGGATACATCTTCTTTATGTTGAAAGTGAATTCTCATTACACTATAAAGTAGACTTTTAAAACAGCATCTTTTTTATATTAGAGTTGTGCTGGAAAATTCCCAGATCTGGCTTTTAGGATGTAAGTGGTTGTGTATGTTTCCTGTTTTGCTTGAAAAATGAAATGATTAAGAGCACAGAGCCATGTACTGTGTTTATAGCTTGTCCTGATCAAATCTGTGAGGCTCTAGGTTTGCTTCATAGCTCATAGAGTACTTGTGAAAGTTGAAGGAATTTTTATATATAAAAAGCCTAGATCAATACTTAGATGTAATATATGCTGTACAGGTGCTTACCACTTTTCTTTATTTGATGTATATATTTGTGTGTTTAATTTTGATTTTAAAGATAGTTTTATAGTTTTATTTCCTATCCTTTTCCTTGTGGGTCCTAATTTGACCCAAATTAAAGTTATTCCTTGTTTTAACATTCTTTTCCTTTTTTGAAGGAATATTTTAGTTGATGTTACGGTATGTCAGGAGAAATATTTGTTGGAATTTAAGGCATGGAAATGAGAGTATTAAGAGTTGAATTTAATTTAATTTAATATTGTTTAAATTTATTAGGTATAGAACAAAATGAAAAAGCCTTGCTGATTACGAACATTGACATGGCGCCATGCATAGTAGATCCCCAGTTACGGATTATTCTTCAATGGCTCATTGCTTCGGAAGCTGAAGTCGCAGAACTTTATTTTCATGATTCTGCGAAGAAGGAATTTATGCTAGTAAGTACTGACTGAGCATGGTTATGAGGGTACACTTAACAGTATGTAGTATTCTTGTCACATTGCTGGTTTAATAAGATTTCTGTTGAAAACAGAATGGTTAAATGCTTAGTCTGTGGAGTCTGTGGAGCACTTGGGTTCAGATATCAGTTCTGCCACCAGCAGTAACACCTTGGCCCAGTTAACCAGTCTAAATCTCAGTTTCCTTAGTTGCATTATTGATTTACGAGTGTAGAATCTGGCGGATTTGTGAATAATCAAATATAATACTGTAAAAACCAAAATATGTAGCCCAGTGATTGGCATATAGGTAGTTCTCAAAGATTCCATTAATAAATATTTTAAATGTTCTTATGAAAAGATGAAGTTATTATCTATTTAGTTAATTCATAATTATACTTAAAATGGGTGTTTCTCTGATAACCTAGCTTCATGTATATGAGCAGCTGGCATAATCAGAAGCCAATTAAAGTTATAAACAAGATATTTTTACTAAAAAAAAAAAAAGATATTTTTACTGAGCACTTACTTAGTGTGCACCACTTTGTTAGTTAAATCGGTCTTAAAAATTTTTGCCTACATGAGTGTCCTTATGAAAACTTTAATTTCATGATAAAGTGTAAAGAATCCAATGAATAAATAACATACTGTTCAATAGTAAAAAAAAAAATACACGTTGCTCTCATTTTCTGGTTCAGAATTTTATGAAGATGTTGAAAGAAACTAGATTATACAATTTTTTTTTAAATTGCAATTTTTATTTTTTTTGAGATAAGATCTTGTTACACAGTTCAGGCTGATCTTGAGCTCACTCTGTAATTCAGGCTGGCCTTAAACTTGTAGCAATCCTCTTGCCTGAGCATCTCCAAGTGCTGGCGTTACAGGTGTGTACCACCACGCCCAGTTTGTCATTTTTATTATTGGACTGTTTTTAGTTTAAATAAATTTTAGTTTGAAGTAAAAAAAGAAAATAGGAAAGAAACAGGTGCTTAGGAAATGAATTACCAAAGGGCAAGAATGAGTAGGGAAATTGTTAGAACTGACCCCAGGAAGGCAAAGATTTCCCAGTCATTTAGTTTTAGGTATACTGTTGCCTAACAGAAGGCCCTCTGTGGGGGGTAGGAGTGCTGGTGGTTGTCACCATGTAACACAGCCCAGAGATCTTTGCCAATGATTGAGATGAGATGCTTAAATGTGGATGACAGTGCCTTCTTATGTTCATTGTTCGTTTTAAATAATGATCCTTGTTGGCCATGCCTGGCAGGAACCCCACAGGGCTGCTTGGAAGCTGTGAAACAGCTAATAGGCAGTACAATATATCGTTAGTGATAATGAGGATATTAGAAATAAGGTATTTTTGTCTTTCTGGATAATATACTATTAATTTTGGTAGTTTTAGTTTTTTTGTTTTGTTTTTGGTAGTTTCACTATTAAGAGAATAAATATACCTTATTACTTTAATCATAAATAGGTGAGAGATAGTTGTATAGAAACCAGAAAATATAAAAGTATACCTACGTCAATGAAAAGACAGAATATATCAAAATTAAGGACTTTTATACTCCACAAAGGACACTATCACCAAAGTAAAAAAACAGCCCGAGTGGAATGAAGTGCTTACAAATTATATATATCTGATACAGATCTTGTATCTAGTATATATAAATATAATTTAAAAATAAAAATATTTGAAAATCTGATTAAAAATGGGTAGAAAATCGAAATTGTTGTGGATCTTTCAAAGAAAACATGTCAAATAAGTAAAAAGTCATTGAATTATTAGCCATGTACCAATCAGAACTACTGACTTTCACTCCCACTAGGATCACTTTAGTTAGAAAAGCAGTTAAGTGTTGGCTAGTCAGAGTTTAAAATGGTACAGCCACTTTGGAAAACAAGCAGACTGTTGTTCAGAAAGTAGTATTGTGGTATCCTGCACTTCCACTGCCTGATCCACTCGAGAGAAATGAAGATGTGTCCACACAAAAGTTGATGTGCAGATGATGAAGGCGACATCATTCATGACAGGTAGAAAGTGGGAGCACTCCACATGTCATCAACTGAGGAGTGAGTGAAATGTGGTATATCCATGCCATGCAGTGGAGCTGCTTTTATCAATAAAAAGTAAGTACAGAGGTACCTTGGTTCATGAACTGAATTATTTTCACAATTCTAGTCACAAACCACATTGGATGAGAACCAAATCAAATTTACCCATAAGGTCAGCGTTGAACCTATTGAATTTGGTTCAGTTGTTGTCCATATCAATGCACAGCCATAATTGTAGAAAGAATTAAGTTCATGAACCAATGTATCACTGTATTGTGACGTACCAACCCATGTGGAACCTTAAAATAATTATCTGGGGATAGGAAGATAGTTTGGTGGCATAAACGCATGCCTGGCAAGTGCAAAGGCCTGGGTTCGATCCCCAGTACCACATGCTGTGCCCGCCCCAGAACCTCGGGTGTGCTGTGCTGGCCCCAAAAACGGGTGCGGTGGCACACACCTGCAGTCTCAGCACTGGAGTGGCTGAACAGGAGGATAACTGTGTGTCTGGGCTTGTAGCAAGATCCTATACCAAATAAATAAATAAGATTTTTTTAAAAATAAATATAAAAAAAGGAATTTGTTTTCTGTTAATATTTGACATATTTTTGTTTCTTAGCTTTCTAAACGGTTACAAGAAAAAGGATGGAAAGTGGGAGACCTCCTGCAGACTGTGCTTAAATACTATGAAGTGGTGGAAAGAACTTCCAGCGAGGAGAGATGCAAGTCACTGTTTGAATGGCTTTTGGAAAATGCATAGTATAAAACTCAAACCAGTATATTTTCTTATTTGTTATGAAAGGAAAAGAAACAGATAAATATGTTTAGGATAAACTTGAATAGTAAATATGAACATTTTAAGTGATTTGGGAGAAAAGTACAGCTTTTTAAGTGCTTTCTGTCATCACAACGTGTATATAGTTCATACTTTTGTAATCCCTATTAAAATATAATCTCTACCTGTTCTGTGTGTGTATGTAGTGTGTGTAACTTATATATGACGGAAGGAAAAGGTCTCTGGGGAGATTGTGTGACGGCATTCTTTTTTGCATCCAGATAGTGCTGCTTGAAACTGCAGAGATAGCTGGGGAGATATTCCAGTGATAGAGTAACTTATAATTGTTCCTTACAAATGGTATCTGACTAATGACTCATCACAGTAACCAAACATAAAATTAAAGCTCGTTTGTTCATTTGTGGTAAATTTTTAGACTTTTTGCCCTGTTTTAAAAAATCAGTTTTATGTCAGTAGCTCAGCTATTGGCAGCTTTTTGGTTCTCTCCAAAGTGTTTAATTTTTTAGTAGTAATATTATTGTTTTAGGTTTCTATAAATACCATGAAATTTCCCAGGCCTTCCATCAAACAACATTGTTTACTAATCCTACTAGTCCTTATGGTATGAAAGGGGTGTGTGTGTGTGTGTGTGTGTGAGAGAGAGAGAGAGAGAGAGAGAGAGAGAGAGAGAGAGAGAGAGAGGTACAGAGGTACAGAGGGAAAGTGAGAGGAAGGAAAACTTTTAACGTTGACAGGTTGTATATCCTCTTTTGTTTTACTCTTAGCATTGTTAACATTAAAAAGGTGCTTGAAAATAAAATGTCTATAAAGATTGTGCATTAAGCATTTTGGACTTATAAATGAAAATTCAAGTTGAAAAACAAATTTTAAAAATAATGTTAATAGGGAAATGCATTCAGAGGAGCCTAATGTATTTCATTGTTAGATTTTTGACAAAACCATGCTTAGCAAGAATAAGATTCCTCTAGAAAAATTGTGACTCTCCTTCCCAAATAAAAATGTATCTGCGGTGTTTTGTAAAGTTCTCTGCAGAATGTTTCTGGGCTCTATATTTCCTATTACTTTATCCTTAAAAATTGCAAGATGACATGGACAGAAGGACCAAGATTATGTCTTGGTTTTACATGTGTAGGGATGTGTGTGCAACTTTTTAATTTTTCCAGTGCCACTTTTTGGGTGGGCTTTAGTTTTTTTACCCTTGCCACATTTTTTTCCTCCAAACATAATTCCAGAACTGCACAAAATGTAAAGACATAGCACCTGCCAAGGCATAGGGAATCGGGGCAGTTATGTAAAGTTGAATTAGCAATTATGGTAGTTTTGTAGTGAAAGATTCAGATTTACTTTTTAAGAAAATGTCAAAATACTTAAATATTTTGAGGTTACACTGTAGACTGGTTTTTCTCAATTTAAAATACAGGTATAGGGTGATCCTTAAACATAAATTTTCCTGAAGTTTCTTCAAGTATTTTTTGAGATGAAGAAAGGAAGGAAATATATAACTAGGGGCAGAGATGAGACCACACTGGACTGGAGTTTCAATGTTAGGACCAGGAATGGTTGCTCTTGTTAGTTGTAAGGTAGGTTAATCGATCAAGTTCAGATTACATTTTTATAAGTAACTACCAAAATTGTATTGAGTAATTTGAGTGTAAATATGGGTTTAAGTAGCAACAAAACTGGGTTCTGATTTTCTTTTAAAGTGGCTATATTTCATAAAAGCTTCTGTGTTTATGTGAAATGTTTGTGTTAATTTATGTTAATTGATACAATCATTTTGAGGTAAAGTTTTTGACATACTCTGATTTCCTTTGCATTTTGCTGGAGCTGTGCTGAGTTCAGAGTTCCATTATCTAACCACCACCTACTGACGAACCAGTCATTAGGTGTCAGCATGCGTGATGATAATAGTGGAACTCTACATTTGCATCAATTCAGTGCAGAGGCATTGAGAAAAATATTAAATATTGGTATATGTAAAAAGAAACATTGAGTTAAGCTTCCTTGTATAGAGAGCATACATTTGAACAGTATCTTTTAATCATGTACAGTCTAAACTTAACTTTCTTTAAAGACTGATTTTCCAAAAATGCTACAGATTTGTTTGGTTGCTCAGTCTTGAAAACAGCCCTGTTGAGGACAACTCTCTCTTATTTTATTACAAATCTGCTTGACATATTAGAACATCATAGCATTGCCATTCTGTACATATTGGTCCTAGTGAAATATGTCTTACTCAAAATTGTTAAGATTGTGATGTGCAATGAGCTGAATTCTTTGTTTACCAGTTTTTAAATCATCATGTGATTTGAAGAGAGTGAAACTTCTGGTAAGAGGTTTTCAGAACATTATTTCAGTCTAAAGTAGAGCAGTTCTTTCATGTTCTTTTCCTAAGCCAAGGTTAAGTTACATTTGTATTTTGGGCATTATTAATAGTAATTTTGACATTAACTTCTTGATTTATTAAAAATAAATGACTGATTTATAAATCACAGAATAAAATCACAGTGTCTATTGGATGAATGAGTATGATTTAGTGGCATTATAAAACCTTTGAGAGTAACTCAGTGAACATGTGATACCTTTATACTTTGAAAAATGTTGCATTCACCCTTTCAGGTATTTGATGTTATTAACTCATAATGATTTGATTTATTTAAATAATGATTTTATATTGCTTGTAGGAGAATTTACTTAAGTGCACTATATGTAGAATGAAAGATTGGGTCACCTATTTGGTACAATAGGTGAGTTTGATTTTAGTGCACATTCCCCAAATGCAAAGTGTAATTTTTGTTCGAGTTTAGTCTGATGTCTATTTAATTTCTTAGCTAATACTATTCCACAGTTAATAGTATCAATTTCACACTAGTATATCACTTTATGTTTTATGGTTTTCGAAGAAAACTTTACATAGAATTTAAAAAATGACCATCCATATTTAGGGGTTAAGGACGATACTTCCCTTTTGAAACCCTGTCACCTGTTACATGCACAGGAGAATTAGAGTATCAGTAGGAATTAGCAGAGTTGTACTATGAAGTAAGATGCATTTTTTCCTCATTTTCAGAAAACTGCGAAACATTTAATCATTACTGTACTCTTGCTCCACAGATGCAGATACAGTGGTAGTCACTCTTGTCACTTTAATTTATTTATTTTTTAATCATCCATGTACATTCCTTTCATTTAGAGTTACAGTTTTAAAAGTTCTCATTTGTTATTGTTATAATGTTTGAATACTGTTTTAATACCGTTTTAATATTGCTAGGTTTGCTACCTTTGGTTACTTGTGCAGTGTTAAAAGTAATCCACATTCTTGTTTAATTACCAGATATATAACAAAAGAAGCTTTGAATAATTATAACTTTTTTTGGCTGTGCTCAGTTATTGTGTGAAGATCTTATACTGTATACCAGTAACTTTTTTTGCTCTTCAGTAATTCAATGTTTGCTTACCAAAATATGAACTTGAGGATGCACTAAACTTTTGTTTTAGTTAGCAGTGGCTTTTAAAGAGTTTCAAAAATTTCTTTTGTAATAATTTGCAATTAATTGTTCTTTTCCATCCTTTAAGCCTGTGATCTTTCCTCTCCCAACTAAGAATTCTTCAATAAATTAAAAATATGCCACCTTTGGTTTTTATTCTGTAATACTTTATTCATTACTCTATGCTGAGCTAAAAAGCATGCAAGACTTCTCTGACAGAATACATAATAGGGTCAAATGCTCTGATGCATCACTTCTATAATAGAAGACATAACAGAACTGGACGCAAATTTCTTGATGTCTCATCTGATGCACAGAATTACAGAAGGAAGAGTTTATGGAGGTTTCAGATACTCAGCTGGCTGCAAGGCAGGGTGGTGTGGCTGAGGGCAGTGGTTCATGGTGGTAGGAGACAGCAAGAGCAAAGGGTGAGGGGAGCAAGCACCTTTCCTCCCTTGCATCGTATTGAGGCTCTCCATCCTAGGGTGTGTCCTTCATAGCCATGCCATCTCCCTGCACAGGCTCAGGATGTTTATGGAGTGAAACGCTGGACCCCTGTTGTCACTTAGTTAAACTTCTGCACTCAAGTTGACACAGTGTCAACTTGATTTTTGAGAACAAATGTTAGTATTTTTATATTTTTTCCCCCAGTACCAGGAATTGAACTTGGGACCCACAGATGCTTAGGCCGCTGAGCTATATCCCCGGCCCTAAGAGTATTTTTAAATTGGATACCTTACAGGTACCTCCATGGACTGTTTTGGGTTTAGTGCAAAGTAGAACGCTGAGATAGATTGCCTTGGACATGAGCACATGGCTGACATTCTTATGGCCTGGTTTGAGCACTCTTGTGCTATATAGGGTTCATACCCTCTCATATCTACTATGAGAACCTTAGATGTTAGCTCCTGGTTTATTAGTAGTGGAATTGAATTTTACCTTTTTCTGCCTCTTAAGTAGACATTGTTTCTTGGAGCAAATTTTAGGTGTACAGTAAAATTGAGCAAAAAGGGGCCAGGGAGATGGCTCAGTGGAATAAATGCTTCCCTGGCAAGCACAAGGGCCTGAGTTCAATCCCTGGTTCTGCAAAAAAAGAATTTTCAGTTTACCCTCTTCTCTATAGCCAGGAACATTTTTTACCCTTATCACCCCAAGCCAGTGGCTTATCACAGGGTTCACTCTTGTACATTCTGTGAGTTTGCGCAAATGTATAATGACATGTGTCCGCCATTGTAGGAGCACATGGGCAGTTTTATTTTCCTACCTTATATGTTTTAAATCCAGAAATTAAAGAACAGGTTTTTAGTTTCCATTAATGTTTTTAAATGCTAGGAAGTAATAGCAAACAACAGGAAGACAAGTGCAGATGCATCACAGTCAGAGAATAAATTGCTGACAAATAAGATTCCATAGTTCATAATTCTGGAAAGGAACACTGACTCAATGAGAATTGTGGCAAAAGACATTTGAACTCTTTAACACATAGATTTGCATTTCATTTTTCAGTAGGATTATTCTGATCTTAGGGCACCAGATAGTATCTAGATTTTAGTGAGACATTTTATATGGAGAGAAGACATGAATAATCGTGGCTTTCTCTTGTTTTGAGAATGTGTTCCCAGAGACTTGTTACTGGCTCAGTGTGTGCAGTCAGTGCTGCGATATGTCATGGACCTCTTCATGCTTAGCCTTCATCTACAGACTTGGATGAGGATTTCATGGGGATGCCCTGATCATTGGTTTTCATAGAGCTTTACTGGCATGCCATGGCAACCGTCTGGAAGGATAATATTCAAACAATAGAAATAAATGAGAGGAGCCAATAAGGGACTTCTGGGTCTGTTTCCCTTTATTTTTTGAAACATAGATTTGGCATTTTCCTCTAAACATGGGAAAGTTCTGTTTTACATTAGCTTTTTTAAAAAATTATTTTAGTACAGGGTCTCTGCACAGATCGGACTCGTAGTGATCCTTCCCATTTTTCAATCCCAAGCGCTGGGATTACAGGTGTGTGCCATCACGCTCAGTCTCACTCACTGTCTCAGGGGCAGGGCCAGCATGGTAGGCTGAGGATTGAACCCTGCATCTGTCTAAGCAGGTGGCTTAATCCGCTATCTAGCTGGCCCCACATTAGCTTTTTTTTTTTTTTTTTTTCAGAGCCAGGGATTGAACTCAGGCCCTTGCACT